TGAAATAACAATTTATTTCAACAAATTTTATGATTTTATTGGAAAGTATGGAAATTAAATGTGTTTATAATATTTCTTATATTATAAATCTATATTAACAGTGTTCTCACACTCATATAATTGGATTCTACTTAAGCAGGACAGATGACACAATAAATTTGCCAGTGTTAAGACTGTGTTGAGGTGCTTAAAGGTCTCATATTATGCCAAACTGACTCATGTGAGCTTTAAGCCATGCAGAATGTTGTTAACTCTTCAAAAACATACCCAGACTTGTGTTTTGTTTCATTCACACATGTTTGGGTAATCCTGTATTATTAGTCTGTCTACATCTCACAAACTCTAAATGCTCTGCTCCACTTTGTTATGCCGTGAGGGTTTTCAAGTTAACAGCTACCTTTTACCTTTTGTTCAGTAAAGATCGGCAATTGCAAATGACTGTATTGAAGGTGTATGGAGTTTAAAGAGATGTGTGAATGAAACAAAACACAACTCTGGATATGTTTTGATGAGGAAACAACATTGCAACATAGATCAAAAAAGAGCATAATATGGTCTCTTTAAGATGTAATGTCTTTTTAAGCTGTTTTTTGTACTGTTTTTTTAACTAATATTACTCATTCAATCTAAGAACACAAGAGAGAATGCACACACCATAGTTCAGGTAGAAATTCAATTAAATGTGTCTAATTCACTGTAACATATCCTCTCACTCAAACACGCACATTTCTCCCTAAAGCAAGACAGATGATACAACCTAAACTTCTCAGATGAGCAAAGCTTTTTCACAGTTTTTCACAGTCTCTCGTCTGTCTAAGCGGACCGTCTCTCTCTTAGGAATACCTGTGTTTTGACATTCCCCATAGAGAGCCATAGATCTTCATCCAGTGCTCTGACAGACTGTCTGAAATAGCAGGAGATCAAAGCGCTGTGAGTGAATGTTGTGAATGTGTCAGGGCTCTGAACTGGACAGCCCAGGTTACCAATGCAACCCTTAAACCTGAAGGTTGCTCCGGACATGAGAGATCCCAGAACAAAAGAACTGCTAAGCCACTAATGAATTTTAAGAGCAGGGCATGCCACACTTGGTAAAATGCTATAAACATGTCTTTTATTACTTTTATTGTACGAAGATCACATGTCCAAAGACCTATGAATAGTCTGAGATGCAGGAAGAGGCTGGAGAAGATCTTACTGTATCTCTGTTTCATGTTTTGGAGTAGGGCAAGGCGATATGACTAAAACTGTATCACAATTCTTTCACCACTCATACTGATTTCATTTTTACACATAAGACTCCTTAATTAGAACCATTTAAAGGGCCCATGTTACGCTATTTTCTGATCTATCTTATTCTTGTTTCCTCATCACAAACATACCTGGAGTTACATTTTGTTTCATTCACACATGTTTAAAACACAAACCTCGCACATGTAGGAGTTTTTCTCTCAAAACTGAAAACACCTTGTGATTTCACATTCACAAGAATAATTTGGAGTGCTTAGGATGATTTCAGCCCTGGAATTGCCTGTCTCTACTGAACAAAAGGTAGAAGGTAGCTTTTAATGTATTCCTTCAAAGTCTGAACTAAGCTTAACCAGATGCTGACAGTGAACATTTTGGCAGAATCTAGCCAAATGGAGTCACGAGCCTGTCTACTCATTGGGGTATGGGGTTGCAGCTGAAATGGCATCTGACGCAATTCCAGTTTAATGTGAGGACTGCACGCTGTAATACATGATTTACAAAAGTCATCGCAGAGGACAAAGGTCAAAGCTTAGAAGATATTTAAATTTTAAGAAAGCCATTTGATTTACATTTTAAGCAGCGGATGTGCGTGCCATTGGGACATAGAGGCTCCTTAAAGTGAGTGTAATAAAGGCCCTCTTATTGACTGTACAAAGGAGGAGGCCTCAGCTGCTCAGAGCTAGAGTATCACTGAAGAGAATTTAGATCTGTACAGTCCCCAAATCCACAACTAATGACTTCATGAACTCCTTTAGAGACAGTGTGCCCCGTACAAAACTCAACTGCTTCCAATTTCATTTTCAATAACCAACCAAGAAATAATTTAAATCTAATCTGTATAGGAGTTTCATTGTGATGGAGGAAAGCAAAACACTAGTGTCCACTCAAAGATACACTATGTAACTTTCTGATGGAATGCCCATCACCTGCTTGTCTCCATAGAGATGTTATTGCTTTGTCTAAAATGTTCCACAGTATGTATAGACTTCTGATCTCTTCTAATCAGTTGCGACAGAATCTTAGTTGGTAGAGTGTTTGCCCACTGATCCTCTCGATATAAACATCATTATTACAGAGGTCAAATCCACCGACCCACAGGTTGGAGGTACGATTCCAGCTCCTACAGATGAAGACTGTTTTAGTGTCCTTGGGCAAAACACTTAACCCACTTTGTTCCCAGTGCCTGCATACACTGAATTATGATGTGTGTGTGTGTGTGTGTGTGTGTGTGTGTGTGTGTGTGTGTGTGTGTGTGCGCTGTGTGTGCGTGCGTGTGAATAAGTGAGTGCTTTGAGTACCTTGAAGATAGAAAGGTTTTATAAAAATTTGACCATTTAATATTTGATTGAATATAATCTTAATATATCTCCTTAGAGACAAGTAAATGAAGCCTCTAAACCAAGTTACATGTCAGATCTGTAGAGGCAAACCTGCTCACAGTAAGAATGCATGTTTTTCAAAGTATTCTTAAGCAGTATAAAGGACTGTAATTTAATAAATCCAAGATGGGTTTAATTAGGGGTGTCAAATTATCGCGTTAATTGCGATTAATTAATTACAGTCATATTTAGCGCGTTATGTTTTTTAATCGCGTTAATCTCATTTTTAATCTCTAACTTTACTGTTTCTGTATGTGAGTTGCTTTATTATAAAACCTGTTTTTATGTGTTGTTGGGACAACAACACACACACACACACAAAAACACATTTATAAATTTTTTAATTTCGGCAATTCCACTCATTGTCGGAAACCCGCACAAAACACGCGCAGTAAGAGCGACGTTTACAGCGTCAGTCGCACAATGGACGAGGTCGAAGAGCCAGTAGAACAGAGTCAGCAGTGCACAGGTAAAAACGCATTCGTGTCTTGGAAATTATTCTCCCGACGTGAAATATAAAAGAAAATAACAAATATAATATCGCCTACAACTTAAATGTCACTGGTGAAAACAACCTGCATAGGCTCATGATGTCTGCACTACTGTCCTATACACACACAAACACAAACACAAACACACACCTTCATCATCGTCATTAACCTCAGAACGCGCGGACCACGTTTCCTTCCGTAGTTACTGCGCGGACACCGACGTGCTCCCGTGAGCCGCGTGTGGATCGTGTTTTCTCGCGTACGCTGCGTAAACCGCGCATCCTCCTGTGCGCCTCTAAACCAGAACTAACACCAAGACTAAAACCAGGACTAATTCAGTCCAGGACTAAACCAGGACTAAACCAAGTCTAAACCAGGACTAAACCAGGACTAAACCAGAACTAACACCAGAACTAAAACCAGGATTAATCCATTCCAGGACTAAACTAGGACTAAACCAGGACTAAAACAAGGACTAAAACCAGTGATCTCATATAGAAAGCATTTCTCTATTAATAATATTTTTAATATGGTTAGGGAAAGACTGGACTTTTTATTGTCTTTAAGTAGACAAAAGTTATTATGTTCAGATTTCCTCGTCTTTGCTGCTTTACAGCAAACAGTTTCTTATTCATGGAGACTTGGGCTCAACAGCCAATTTGGAGAGATTTGTTAAACAATAAATGACTTTATAAAGTCACTTTTTTTTGTTCTATATCAGTCTTTTGATCTGCCACAATAATGTAATAATGAATTTAAATGAAAATACCTCAAATTGAAGGCTTTTCTCAGCAATTTTTAGGTGAGATTAAAAAGAGATTAATTAGATTAATTAATTACAGATCATAATTAATTAATCTCTCAATTTTTTTAATCGCATGACAGCACTAGGTTTAATGCCATACTGCAGAACATTGGCAAACACCCCACCAGAAAATAGTGTTATTTTAAGTATGACTTTGTAGACTTTATGGGCACTACAGGGATGGAGAGACTTCATTGCTGCCCTAAACAAAAAAAACAGGCAGGCAGATTGTGGTCAGTTTATACTACAAAGAATCACATAAGTAACATAATCACCATAATCACCAACTAGAAATGCTGCTCTTTTCTTCTTGCAGAACCTATTACTCCTGAATGTATACAGTAAGTCTGTTAAGATAAGAATTCATTAGGATAGATAGAAATGATTCATGATCAAGATCCCAATAGGAGAAATTCAGGGGTTTAACATTTGTGAAATTTCTGGTTAGATTTTTATTGTATCTTAGCCATAGACAAGACATTATAATTTGTTTTAAAGTGTCAGTTGCCATGGCAACAGTCCTAATTTTACATCATTCTGAAACCCATGGATCAAAACTTACTTACTAAACAGAAGTTCACTCATTAGCAACAGCAGCAAGAAAAGTTATGCAATTCTTTTTAGCTTGCAGCACTTGGTTTGTTGATTTGCAATAAGATCTTGTTGTGCCCCCCACTACATCCACACCCATTTCTTTAAAGAACTGCTAAATACTCCACAAATGAAGTTTACTCTTGGAGCTGCTGCTGCAGACGTTGTCTCTTGTCTGCACCCCCAACAGCTGCAGCCCGCTCTCTTCATCCTATACCAGGCTCTCCCTCTCCACTGCTCTTTGAGTGACAGCACATGTGCGTGGGGTCCAGGGGAGGGTGGCTGCTGAAATCCAAGCCCCCTGTTTGACTCTGAAACATGGGCCAGCAATGGACAGGGAGGAGCTGCGGAGACGGACCCAGGACCGCGACACAAACTGCACCAGTGAGAGAGGCAGAGAGAGAGAAGAGGGGGCAGGAAGGAGAGCGTTCTGTTTGAAGGAAAAGTTTTGGACTAGTGGATTGTCATCAGCGGCTGTTGTTGAGGATGGAGGGGCGGATGTTGTTGTTGGTGGTGCTTGGGAGTCTAATTAGTCAGGTAAGGAAATTTCAAATTGAGTGAAAGTTGCTAAATATTGTGTTATGATTGATTGATGAAAGCGTTAATTTGTGTTTTTGTAAATGTCTGTCAAAGTCTTGCTGGAAAAGTTGTTTTAGTCTCTGCTATCAATTACAAAGTGACACGTCTTGTTACAATATGACACCTCAGCTTTGCCCACACTAAATCAGGTGTTTCTTTTCTGAGGGGCACAACAGAAACTGGCAGATATGTTGTGGCTAACACTTTGCTGCTATACAGCAAACACAAATAACTGTATGTTTAGCAATGTATGTTTTAAGGATTTTTCCCATTGAAATTATGTAATATTTTGCTTTGCATTTTTAATGGTTATGGCAACTCTTTTGTTATTCTGAAACCCATAGATAATTTCAGTTAATATGCACTACACAATGTCAAACATTTTAGAGGTTTCAATGATATCTTCTGTTAATTACACTTCTTAGGGATACATAGAAATTGTTGTTTATTTAGAAGGATTCGGTGGGACTATCTGCTAAATGAGGTGCAGTAACAAGCATTGATATGTGTTCAAATGAGCATCCTATTTTGAACATCTTCATTATAGCCCTACAATGAAGTTCTTCACTAGTTTTCAACTGGTCTACAGTGACTTCTCTTGCTCTGTCAGGTCTGATCCACACTGCACCTTTGCCAATATTTGATCCTCACTTCCTGTCATCTGCTCTTAGTTAGCCGGTGACCCTTCTCCACTCATCTCCCCCGATATACAATTTATGTTTCTACCTGAGTGAAGCCCTGACAGAGTGATCTTGGTTATTAACAGAAGCACATAAACTGGCTCACTGCAATCAGCGCTCAGGCTTGATCCAAACAGAGGGTCCCGTGTGGATGTGGGATGATGAAGTGATTTGAAGAGTACCAGACTCCAGATGTGCTTTGGGCCTAGGTCATCATTAGTAGCCTCTGTCAGCAGACGCCATTATGTGATGTGCATGGGATGGCAGTGTAAACTGACATGTTAGCCACAGCACTTTCCACATCCATCGGTCTTTCACTGTGTTTGGAGAAACAAAGGAGTCCAGGTCAGGGCTGTTGAGTGAAAGAGCAGCCACCAACCTTCAGAAGAAGACATGGATTAACTTTATAGTACAAGGAAGAGGGTTGATTATTTGGTAGCACTTTTACAGTCCCTTACATCATATAATGGTTCCTGGATTCATGGAGTTCACATTAAAGGTTTGGCACATGGTAGAGGTCTGTTCTGTTTCAAAGCAGTTGAGTGAATGGATTTCCCCATAATTTTCTCATGACCAATTCATTTTGTTCTAAAAGAAATACTGATTAATTTGTCATTGACTAATTGAGAGACAAATCTAGACATGTTGGAGGGGTAAGCTGTTAAGCCAATAACTAATGGTGTAAGAGCCAAAAGGTGTAGTGGATCTTCACCTCTACAGATGGGAATCCTAAACAGTGTCTGAAGTAAAAATGTTACATTCTTCACTCACGTTGACTACAATTAATGTAAAACTGAAAGTGAAACATGAGTGTAGGGCAGCTGACTGTAGGCAGAGTTCAGGTACCATAGTAAACTACTTCAGCTTTGATTTGTGAGGCTGCCGTGCATTTAAGTGGCAACGCCAAATGTCACAAGAGCCACAGACACATGAAGGATGATTGAGGCCATTTGGAAATAATAGGTAATAAGCAGCTAAAGCAATGCACTAGTGTGCACATCAGATAGTAACAATTTGACCATATCATAAATACTCAGAATAAAATAAATAAGTTGGAGCATAAGCAGCTGGCACCTGTTGGCTGTCGGTCGAGCTTCATTGCACTCTTTTAATTATGAGGCACTGTTCTTGTTGTTTTGAGCGTAGTGCTCAGGCCTGCTGTATGCTGAGAATGAGCCACAGACACAGCTGTTCCCAGATGCATACGTGATGCCATTTGTCCCACGCTGTAATCCCCTTCGTAGAGACAGGAGTGGGCGCTCCTGGACCATGAAATCGGGCACAAATCATGAGAGTGTTGCAGTGGCCAGCTGGTGCAGAGGCCTCACTCATCGGAAACAATCAGTCAGAGGATTTAGAGCTGACTCACAGAACTGTGTGATACCTGTGGAGTCCATGGAGGCACGTACACTTTATGAAAACATCATATTATAAGTCACTTTAACAAGTCTACATTCACTCTTGCCTTTGCCCTAATATTCTTATAGACTGCAGCATGAAAAATGGAGTAGTGACAGTTGTTGTTAGCATTCACGGACAGCTATGTGCTAGCATAGCTATAATTAAGTGGGTCAGTTGGTGGGTTTGGGAGTTGGCGTCCCAAGTGAATAATGTGTTTATAATAAGGAAATGCCTATTGACCTGGTATAAACAAGGGTAAGGTTTGTTGAAAACAGAATATTTTGGGTCAAAAACACAAGTGAACAAGAGTTCATTTTCTTTAAATTACTAAAGCACTACTTTAGTCTTGAACATGTGTTTTGGAGGGAAAAGCACATTTAGTGGCTCCAAGAATAGGCCCTAAGACTTTGTATGACTAGGCAGACTCTGTGGTGCTGTGAGTGTTGTAGGAGCAGGAGAGGGGACACCTGTGTGACCCTCGGCCCACAGCAGGGACATCCTCAGAGTCACTGTCGGACCTGACCCCACATTCTACTGAGAGACGCCATATTTAAAAATGCACCGGACTGCGCTCTTTGGTTTATGTGGTAACAAAAAATGTCACAGATGTATTGGCAAATCACTGATAGGTCCTTATAATTCTCTGAGTTCACAGAATGCCAAAAACTGTAAAAAGCAAAACCAGAAAGCACTTATTTACAGTTGTCCAAAACATGAGTAATACACGAGACTGTGCATGGTTTCATCTAACCAATAAAGACACAGCACATATTACAGAGGCATGTCATTACACTCTTTGCTCTGTTTCAAATGAGACAACTCCCCCTGCTTAAAGTGTGTAAACAGTTGTTGTCTCAAGAGTGCTTTCTGTTGGAGCATATCATCCCCAAACAAGCTGTCTATAGTGTGTGAGGGTCTGAGGTGAAAGGTGAAATGCTGTAAAGGGATCTGGGAAAAGCTCCTAAAACAGCCCAATCTGTGTGTGGCGTCTCCCCTGCTGTCAGAGAGGGGGCTCATCGATCTAATTGGTAACTGGATACTTACTAGAGTTACAGCACTCTGCCTGGTAAAAGCATTATAGTGAGTCTGTATGCCTTTGGTGAAGCCGCTCTGCTACAAGATTGTGTCTATGAGGTGTTGACAACCAGGACACCAAATAAAATGTGTGGAGTTACAAATGACTGATTTCTTAGTAGAACTGCCTTTCAGGTCATTTTTGATATTGCTTCAGGACCGTGCAGGGTGACAGAAGAAGGGGGGTGTTTGAAGAATGCCACAAGTAGAAAGTGCAATGTTTGGAAACTTAACCCTCTCAGGCTCAAATTAATTTTTAGTAAAGAAGAAAAATCTGATATTTGGGGAAAATTATAATATGGGGTAGTAATATACAATCCTGACTTTTTTATCCTTTGTAAACAAAAAAAGTATTTTGCACTTCTGGCAGGTCGTTTGCGTGTAACCATTCTTGCACAGTCTGCATCGTCCATGTTTATCAGCATGGATGGGAGAAAAGGCTCCTGAGTCAAAAAAGCTCATAAAATATGGATGTGGAGTAAGTAGGTAATTGGAATTTAGCTGTTGCAAATCTGCAACGCCTGCCTGGAGAGGATTAAGGTTGTTGATTTTGAGTTAAAGAAAGAACTTTTGAACTTTTTTTAAACATTAATATGTTTGGGTGATGGGAATGTTTTTTAATGTGCCTCTGTCTAACAAATGTTTTCACTGCAAAAGAAATAACACTTCTTCAGGGTACACAGCTGAATGAACGAATGAATATCTAAGCAAAGATTTTCAAGGGGTAAAAAATATTTGAAAGTTGATATTTTATAAAAACTGATTTCAAGACCAAAGCAAATATTTTGTATATACTTTTCTGCTAGCCGGCCTGCTGTGGCAGATGCTAGACTCAAAATGCTACTCAAAACCTTTCATAGACTCTCTAAACGTGTAAACATGTTTCTGTTTGAGAGTCCACCACCAACTTCTCTCCATGGATATTTGCCTGAATGTTCCACAGTAAGGCTTTAAACTTCAAACTAAACTAAACATATGCAGATGACACCACGAGATCACGTTACAGGTCACATCTGAGAAGCAACTCTAATCATGTTTTTTAAGGATGTTTGAGCAATAAATGACCTGTCACTGAATAAATGCAACTTTAATACCATACTGTGGAACATTCCAGGGAGTGACAAGCAGGTGGCACACCCCTGTAACACTGTAAAAGTTGGATCTTCAAGTAATTAAATGGATTGACGACTCTTTACTATAGCCTATAAAAAATAATATATATATATATATATATATATATATATATATATATATATACCATACCCTTTCCAGGTAACTGTTGCTTACTCTGCCCACACCTCCTTCTAATGTGTGTTAACATCCTAGAGTGTGTAAATGATGATGGCCACACTAAATCAAAAAAGTAACAGAGCAAAAAAAAGCCTGGCCTAAGTTTAGCCTACCCTCTGACTTGGCTTGCAGATGCCAGGCGTCGTTGCCATTCCTTCCTGAACTGTGGAGCCGCGTGCCAAAGGGAAGTATATCAGCGTCACACCCCAGGATCAGGCATCGCTTCAGTCAAACCTGTAACAAAATCAGCCATTCTTAATATGCTATCCTCTTCCTCTGATCTCAAAGAGGCTGCACGCTGATTCTACCTCTCAGTGAAAGCAGTGGGGCTGATTCTGCTTATTTTATGTCATGTTAACTCAGTGATCTGGAGTTGGCTATTCATCGTGTATATTACTATTATTATTATTATTATTATTATTATTTTATTTATTTATTTTTCAGAATTTTGTTGTTTTCACTTGTAAAAAATGTTGCTCTTTTTGTAAGTTCCTTAATTGCTCATACAGCTAGTGTTGCAAAAACATCCTAACCTGTATCACATCACAGAAGTAGCCCTATTATTGCAATGTGACATAAAAAAGTTTTCAGCTTTGTAATAAAATGCCAATACCAAAATTATTTAAACTTTTATCAGTTTTGAAATTGACATGAATTCCATTTATATTCTCAGCAAAATAGGATTCTCAAATATTTTACATTAGTCTGCACAAGGTAAAGGCATGGGTTCGTGCTCTTTGCCTACTAGCCAATAAATATCATCCTGGCAATGGTTGTGACAAAAAAGAGGGAGGTGGACTTCCAAACGTAGACTATAATTTTGCTCAGGCTCTAACTACTAATTAAAATAAATGGTAAAACATTAGGACTTTATATTACTATATGCATCAATCATGTGATTAAAACCGAGCATCTTCACTTGCTCGTTGGCTTGATCCACCTCTTGCATATTATGCCTAAAAACAATTTATCTTAAGTGTTTCACTGAGGAAAGTTTAAAATTGTGACATGTGACATCCACCGTAAACCCACCCATGTCGTAACCCAGCAAGTTTACTCCAACTAAAATTAGCACGGTTCATCTCAGTCAGACGCGTGGTGGGGGCGGAACACAGAGTGACAGGTAACCTAAAGTTATGGCAGACTTTACATAATCTCAGTTCGCTTTCAAGTACCTTTTTGGGTTTTCTAATCAGGTAACTTTTATAATACTGTCTTTTGTGTCCATTTTTATATATTTTTTTTATATATAAGCCTAAATTATCTAGGAAGTTTACATCAGCATGGTGAGTAAGGAATACTTATGAGGTGGCCTTTGGATTTTATGGAAAATACTGCTGGAGTCCCTTTTTTAAATCCAGTTCAGTGTCCCACAATAATAGATCCATGGTCCCACATAATAAAACAGTTCATTCATCAGCATCCGGTCCTGTAGTGCAGCCTGTGTAAGTGTGACAAATATAGACAGAGCTTTTTGGCAAGTGAATACTTCCTCTGTGGAGTTTTATGGATTTCTTTAGCAGCTAAAACCTATGAGAAAATGTGCTGAATCAATTTAATTCCCTTTAGACAAAGGAGAGGAAGCCTCCGATGTGTAGTATGTATATGTGTGGGTGTTTAACGTTGAAAATGTTGAAGATGTCAGTCCATGTGTGTGAGAGAGATGCATGTATCCGAGGCATTCCTGTAGTGTTGCAAATCCGTAAGGTGACCCCAAAGTCCCAGTCAGGTGCAGAGCCGAAACATAAGGGGGAATTTGTGTTGGAGCGGGGGAATGCGGGTGGGAAAGCACAGCATTTAAATCCAGGGACGACAGCTGCAGCAGAGTGCATTTCTCACATGTGAGTCTATGTGTGTGGGTGTGTTTTGGAGCTGGGCTGTGAACTGATCGTGGTTGTTTGCGTTGCACTGTCATGAGATTAATACGCGTGCGGTTCAAAAGGAGCCTACAAAGAAGCGTATCAGTGAGTGAAACCCGAGGAGGAGGACCTGTGTGCCCCCCTGCCCCAGACAATCCCACAGATTCCACATTAGAGACAGGCCGAAGCTTAAAGTGCTCCCATATGCCCCCAGTGAACGCTACAGCCATGACTCCTGACATGGTTTTCAACAGCTGCACAATTCTATAATGACATAATTTGTATCTTTCATGAGAAAATCTTAGCTGGATTTGAAATTTAGATTACATGTCATTTGCCTCATAGAGCATATCTGAGGAGTGCAATGCTATAGCTGTCACTTATCCTGCGCACTTAATTATACTATGCGTTTCTTGGACCTATAATAACTTATGCTTTTTTTCTTCAGGCATGGACCTCATCACAGACTCACCAAAAACACTCAAAGCTTCACACAATGCACCCATGGAGAAGGCACAACAGCGGGAGAGTAAAAAGAGACTGGATCATTCCTCCAATCAGAGTCCTGGAAAACAGCAAACAAATTCCTGAAGATCTTGTACAGGTACAAAGCTCAACCGGTTATTGTAAATAAAATTATGTTAATAAGAACAATAATTTAGTCTTATATAGTGCTTTTCCATACACTCAAAGTCACTTCACAATTTTATGCATTATTCATTCCTGGGGTAGACAATCTGCCCCTTTGGCCCCTTCGACCACCACCAACACTCACGGCACATTCATTCTAAGAAATGTGGGTGAAGTGTCTTGCTTAAGGACACAACAGCAGTAAGCACTAGAGCCACTGCCACCCCTCTGTGGCACCTGGTATGTCCTGTTGTCTCCCATCCAAATACTAACCAGGCCCAACCCCGATTAACTTTCAAGATCAGACATTCAGGCATCGGGCACTAAAATAGTTATATCTTGCATAATAAAAACTTTTAAATTATTCAAGCTTTATAGATTTTTTAAATATAATGTAACTAACTAACTAAAGTATTCAATGAACAGGGTAAAGTTGAACTGGTCAGAAGTGACTTAAAAGCGTGTATGATATGTTCTCTTGTAAATTGTCTTGTGACAGGCTGACCTGTGCATGGTTTAGTTTTGATACAGTAGTGGTTCACATATACACCAGAGACACTATGTCAAAGCCAGGGATGTAAAATCATACATTTTGTTTGTAAGATTATAAATTAGTTTAGATTGTCATTTCCTGTCTTAAGTCATGGCCTCTATAGGTTTCAGCTCCAGTCCCACAGTCCCAAACTGTTAACACTCACATCTGGTGTTACGACATATGGTTTTCATTGCTTCTTCCCCAATTGTCTGTGATGTCCACTACTCATTCATTGTACCATTTTTAGATCAAATCAGACAAAATTTTCACCGGTGAGGTCATCTACAAATTGGAGGGACCCGGAGTGGACCAAGAACCCAAGAACTTTTTTGAGATTGACGACAAAACTGGGGTCATCCGCAGCAAGCGACCTCTAGACAGAGAGAAACACAGAAGCTTTACGGTAAAGACATTCTTCATGGTGTTTTAAATCACTCTTACATTTAACAAGTACAGGTGAAGCATGCACTGTACTCAGAGCTTGATCAGAGCCAGCGCCAAAAATTATATTTTAAGCTAGCTGTAAGTTTATTTGACCCCTCCTCACGTGGCCTTTGCTCTCCTCACCTGTGCTGTCTGGTTGTCTCCTGTTAGGTCAAAGCCAGATAAGTGTACCAGTTGTGCAGCAACATAGATAGCATCTTGTGGTGTTATGTTAAAATGCAACATGTCCGGGTCGGCCAGTTTAATTGCAGATGGTAGCTTTAAGTAGGAGTATTATTCCTTCAAAAGAAATTTTATAAATAAACAATACAAGTGGTCCAATTACTCAAATAAACTATAAGAAACTATAAGACTAACTGCTGGACATAACATTGAAATTATAATGAGAAGTTGTGGAAGGATAAAATATCAAATAAGTGACATAAATATTCAAATCATTTAAATCTATCAAAGCTTTTGTCACTTGTAAACTTACTCACAGTTTGAAAAGTAACCAACATTTTTACTCGAGTAAGACTAACACCGTAAATCGAGAGTAAAGGTATGTCTAACAATTTCAGCTAAATTTTATCAAAAAGTTCCTCAAGTAAAATTACTTGGGTAAATGTAACTAGTCCGAGTATTACCAACCTCTAACTGTCCGTAAAGCAGGAATGTATATATTAAGCCTGTACATGTGTTTGAAAGCCGCCATACGTGTTCTTGCCTCTGAACATACATCAGTGTCTGGGACAGCAGTAACAAACATGCAGAGGTCAGACTCTAAGGACCTTAATGGGCACCAAGGGAGTAACTTCAGGATGTCTCAAACCAGATGACTCGTGATGTAACCCACAATAATGAACCAAACATCCTGCACGTTTTAACTCACACAATTTCCCACGTTATGCACTTGTCTGCAAATAGGGGGCGACCCATTAGCTATTTGCTTGTTGGTGGGCACATAATTTATCCCAAAGAAAACAAAAAAACAACCATTTGTGTTGTACTGAAGTGCTTTTAAATAAGAAGCATGTGTGTCTTGTGTGTTGCAGCTCAAAGCGTTTGCCCTGTCCCCCAGCGGAGAGAGACTTGAAAATCCCACCACTATTGAGATAATGGTCCTGGATCAGAATGACAACAGACCAGCATTCACTAAAAGTCAGTTCGAGGGGTCTGTTGCCGAGTTCTCAATTCCAGGTATGTCAATATTAATAAATGTAAATGTCAAACCTAAATGTTTCTGTATATTTTAATTCAGTATTATATCTCTATGCATACCTAACCACTATCATCCAGCTATATGGCCTGACTTTATCCCCAAAACATCCTACATGAGCTGTCACTCTAATCCAGTAGTTTCCAAACTCTTTTTGAGTACCTTTTAAGGTGAATGTTGTCTTAGTCTTTCACTTGAGGTACCTCTTTAACATTGCAGTAGTGATTAGGAGGTATAAGTACACATCTGTTTACTAATATACTGTATTGTAAATGTACTATATTACAACATTATATATCTCTACAAACATTCATATTCAGAAACATGAACTACACAAAAAAGTTCTGATGAATTATTCCCTTTCATCCTTGACCTTTGTCTACTAAATGTCTCAGTACATTTATTTTTAAACTTTCAATTGGATTTACAGGAACTTCAGTGATGTCCGTTTCCGCCGAAGATGCAGATGACCCCATGACTGAAAATGCTATGTTAAGCTACACAATTCTGTCCCAAGAAAGTGTCCCTGCCAATGCTGTAACCAAGACAATGTTTGGGATCAACAACCAGACTGGAACAATTTACACCAGGGACGTGGGGCTAGACAGAGAGGTAGTTACATCTGGAATTTTGTATAGCATGAAGATACAATGTTGGCATAAGTCATAAAAAATGTTGTAATATATCAAATCACTCATTCCAATTTGGCATGCATGTATCTAACAAACAAGAAAAATATGTAGCACATGCTGTAGACTGTCTCTTTGGGAATGTTAAGAATGTATAGGATTAGGAAATCAATCAGAGCAAAAACATCAAGCCATGTTAGATTAGATGTTGTGGTGATAAAGTTAAAAGGGCCAAATTTAAATAGTTTGGGATAGTGGATGACTAACTGTATTTATAAATGGACAGTGGCATTACAGCTTCAGCTTCATTTTACTTCATTCAAAAAGTTTGATTGTATAAAGTGACAGTGGCTCAGTGGTTAGAGCACTAGTCCCATCCCGCTTGGACTAAGTCCTGTCGTTGTGTCCTTAGGCAAACCATATAAGCCACATCGCCTAATATGAAAGTGGTGTGTGTATGAATTATTGGTGGTGGTCTGAGGGGCAGATGGCGCAGATTGCCAGCCTTGCTTCTATAAGTCTGCTCCAGGGAAGCTGTGCCTACACAAACAGCTTACCACAACTGAGTGTGGAGTGAATAAATAATGACTACAGAGAAGCCTTTAACAAGCATTTAAAGTGCATTACAGTGCAAGGCATTCATATTTTTATTTTTGAAGCTGGTCACATACTCAAGGAATGGGAATATTTCAATGAGAGAAAAAAAAATTCACTGTTGGTTCTGGGGTCGTTAATCACAACAACTTTTTAACATTTGATATTGTGATAAACCTAGTCTTAGGTCAACACTTGAGGGACTGTAAATCTAACATATACAACATGCCTGAACAAATCACTTAACCTTAAAAAATAAATAGCATAATAATAATTTGTTTATTTTAGTCATGAATTTGACATGGCTGCCACTTTATTAAACATGTCACATTTACATTTTAATAATACTTTTAACATTTCTTAGCTGCCCGCTGGTTTAATTACAAATTGCTTTCTTGTTTTAGGTTGTCAAAAGTTTCAAGCTAAAACTGCAGGTGGCTGATATGTTAGGCATGGGGTTGACAAGTGAAGGTGTGGCAGTCATACATGTATCCGATATCAACAACCATGCCCCCCATTTCAGCCCCGTCAAGGTAAGTGTCAAACAAAAACGCAATATTGAATAACAGCATATATAATTATGTACTAAATACGGTTATAATCCCCATAGTACAACATGTTAGCAGTGGAAAATAGACAGGACTACGAGGTGGGCCGGGTCAATGTAACAGACAGAGACGACAGAGGAACAGGAAACTGGGAGGTCACATACTCCATTTACAATGACCCACACAGGAGCTTTTCCATCACTACGGACCCCGCCACCAACCAGGGAATACTCACTGTGGTCAAGGTACGCGACTCTGGCTGATGGAGATGGATGGTACTGTCTCCTATGTATACAAAGGGTTTTGGTCTCGGGGTGGCTCTGGTTAGTTGGGTCATTACTGCTGGAGCCTGGAACAGACTAGTTTTGCAAGTTCTGAGGAAGAAGCTTCAGTGAAATCATTCTGAAAAATGCATTTAAACAGCTCCATCTAGTGGTTGAGTTTTAAAATACAGCATGTTTTGTATGTTACGCATGCACAAAATGTTGCTTTAAAGGCCCTACATTATGCAAAATTGACTCTTGTGGGCTTTAAACCATGTTATAATGCAGGTAACAACATTATAGCATCAAAAACACCCCGGGGTTTGAGTAATCCTTTAGGTCTGGCTACATCCCACTGACAATTCCAGAACACAACTCCAGGTATATTTTGATGAGGAAACATTATGCGCCTTTTAAAATTTATTTTAGGCACAATTTGTACTATATCTTATAAAAAAAAAAAAAAAAAAAAAAATATATATATATATATATATATATATATATATATATATATATATATATATATATGTATATATATACAGTTTGAGTTTAAAATTATTTAATATTAGTACGAGTCTGTCAATAAATAGAATACATTTCAACGTCTGCAGTAACACATTTCTTCTGTGTGCATTGCAGCCCTTGGATTATGAAGCACAGCATGAGTACACTCTGATTCTCACTGTGGAGAATGTGAACGCTCTCAGTAATAAGGCCCCTAACCTCCCCGTGAGCTCTGCCACGGTGATGGTGACTGTGGTGAATGAGAACGAAGCTCCGCATTTCAGAGAAGATCCCATACAGATCGTGGTAAAAGAATCTGTGCTTCCTGGGACATTACTGAAGTCCAACATCGCCTATGATCCTGACAATTCAGAACTAAGGTAATACAAAAAATAGTATTATAAAATTATTAAAATACATATGGGTACAACATGTTTATATGTATCATGTATCATTGTATAATGTAATCTGTTGTCATTTAAGCCCTTGCAAAAACACTTGACTATCCTGCCTGTGCAGTATTGCTTTTCTCCCTGGAGATGTCATTGCTCTGCCCAAAATGTTCCACATTATGACATTAAACAGCTCTACCTTACATTTATCCAATTAAAGGTGGTTTTATAGCCCAAAAACTGACATTCTGACTGAGTGGGGTTTCCTCTCCACAAATATGACCTGTAACTTAGTCTGGTCAGGTCTGATACAAAGTTTTAACATCATTCTGGGAAACATTCCAGACAGTCAAAGCAAACACATCTCCATGAAGAAAAGCATTTGACGAACCCTCCACCAGAAAAGTTACACAATCCACCTTTAAAGGGCATCTTTGTACAACAGAGTACTTTGGAGTTGTTGCCTGACAAATTTCAGTGTTGTGAGCTCACCTAATTTTGCTATATTCCATAAATGATCATCCTTTTTCTTGAAGAGCACCTGTGTTTTACCACTGTGAAACCCTCATGTTCAAATGTTAATATGTTAACTTGATTTGCAGGTATGAGATCAGCAGAGACCCGGAGCGGTGGCTGGACATTGATCGAGTCACAGGAGACATCAGCGTGAAGAGAGCGTTCAACATGAGGTCTCCACATGTGAAAAACAACGTCTACACCGCTGCGGTCAAGGTCACAGGTCAGTCGGAAGAAAATACACAGAAAAGTCTTGACTATAAAAACTGTGACTCAGAATGACGATATTAGTATAATTTTGTATTTGTTTTAATATTCTTATGTTGATTTAGTCAAAATGTTACTCTACAATAAAGGGAAATTTGAGAGTTGCCCGCACTCATATTTTATAATTTTAGCCAAAACACAAATAAAATTTATCAGTAATGAAAAAAATCTATGCAGTAGTGATGTCAACTCCAAAACTAAGTGGTATTTCTTTAATGTATACTGTACATTAAAGGTGCGCTGTGTAACCACCACCTGATTTTCTGATGTTATTGCTTTGTATGAAAGGTTTCATAGTATGACATTAAACTTTCTATCATGATGGAGACCAAACCAGGTAAAGTTACAGGTCAGATCTGTGGTGTGACACAGTGAGAATGTCTGTTTTTCTTGGTATTTTTAAGCAATAAAACCACCTGTAATTGAATGAATGTAAGGTAGATCTGTTTAATGTCATATTGTGGGATTTCAAGCAGAGCAATGACATATCCATAGAAACAAGACAGTGACAGACTCTCAACTGAAAATTACACAGTGCCCTTTTAGCATGATTAATGGTGTCTGTGTTGCCATTGATTAAAAAAAAAATGTAAGGACATGAATAAATTTGTTTTTCCCTCACCTTGATTATGATCTACAGTAATTCAGAATTATTCAAAAAATATAGTTTGAAGGCATATCAACATAAACTCTCCCAATACTAATCCTTTGTGTATATTTTCCTGTGCAGATTCTGGTGGCGTGTCCACAACTGCGACACTGGCCATCACTTTGAAGGAGACCAATGATTTTCCCCCTGAGCTCCACCCTCTGAGTGGCTCCGTGTGTAAAGACGCACACAAGAAAAACTCTGGCCTGATTCTGACGGCTACAGACGAAGACCTCTACCCACACGCTGCACCCTTTATCTTTGAAATGCTGGAGGATATGTCTATCAACTGGACTGTCATTCAAATAAATGGTAAGAGATGCCCAAGTGTTTTGAAACAATAGTGAAGACCAGACTGGCTTCCATAGGCAAGAAACAAGTAAAATAATAAATCTGGTTTTACAAAGTATACGTTTTGTTTCTAGTGCTATCATGATATAGAGAAACCATTAAAAAAGATTGCTTGAAATTAAATAAAGGCACTAAATTAGGAGTTACAACTTGCAATTATTTTTAAATCGTCGACTAGTCAGCGGTTACTTTTTCAATGATTTGAACAATCAAATGGTTATTTCTTTTTAATTAGATAAAGGTTGAAATATGGTGCTTCTAGATGGAGAATTTATGAATGCTTGGTATTATTGATGACAAGTAGACATTATTGTATGTCTTTGTTTGGCATGTGTTTTACTCTTTGTATTCCAGATTAATGAAATATGATTACAATAAGTCACAGTTATGCTGAGTAAGTGTTGCATCGTATCATCAATAATTGACATTTACTCCATAGCTATTCTTTAATTATTCAAGTTAGGATTGCCTGTGAAATGCCCACACAAAGCTATGGCTGTATCTTTAAAAGGCACATATTACGCTATATTCTGATATGTTATAATGATGTTCTTCTCTCAAACACTGTGTTCCACCTTGTGATGTCATGTGATAATGCAAGAAGTGCTCCACTGTGTTTCTAAACTCCCTACACCTTCACTAGCATCATTTCGATGATTTCTAGAATTGATAATTTCTATTGAATTAAAGGTAAAGGCTGGCTGTTAACTTGAAAATAACCACCACATGACTTACGAGGTGGAAAGAGCGATTGATAATAAGGGATTACTCAGTCATGTGTGAATGAAACAAAACACAACTCGGAGTATGTTTTTGAGGGGGTAATAGCATTATAATATGACTTAAAGCTCACAAGAGTCAACCTTTAAACTCTTTTGTAGGTACTCATGCTTTGCTTCAGCCGCTGGTGGACCTGGAGCCTGGAGAGTATGTGGTGGCCGTGCTAGTGTCAGACTCGGGCAGCCCAGTGCTTGCAGGTATAGCCCAGGTCAACATCACTGTGTGCCTCTGTGATTCTTTTGGAGACTGTAAGTCAGAGGCAGGGGCCATCTTTGGGGCCACAGTGGGAATAAACTTCATCGCTCTCATCATCATAATGGCCTGCATTGCACTTCTCCTGTGTAAGTTAAGATTGAACTTTACAAAAAAAAATACATTTGCAGTGAATTTTGTATAGAAAGATTATAAGCCAACAATGTATCTATGTTCAAATATACACAAATACTACTGCTACCACTTCCTCTTATTACTATTGCTGCTACTATTACTACTACTACTACTATTAACTATTACTGTTACTATTATTACTATTACTGCTACTATTACTACTACTTGGATTTCCCTCAGGACCAGTAAAGTATCTCTCCCTATCTCTTTCTCTCTACTACCACTACTTACCATTACCATTACTATTACTACCAGTGCTATAACTACTACTACTATGTACTCATCACTGATTAATGTGGTACAGTGCTGCTCCTCCTGGCTGTGGCCATAACCTCCTGTGGAAGACGACATCACATAAAGAAAGGGACTGGCCTGCTGGTTGGAGATTCAGATGATGACATTCGAGACAATGTCCTCAATTATGACGAGCAAGGAGGTGGTGAGGAAGATGAGGTATGGTTTTATGAATGTGAATTTTAACTTTATTTTGATATGAGCATGATTGATTAAAGGGGCCATATTACGCATTTTTTCTGATCTATGTTATAATGTGTTTCCTCATCACAAACATACTTGGAGATATGTTGTTTCATTCACACACTTTTAACACACTAACCCTGCACAAATCTAAAACACTGTTCCACCTTGTGGTGTCATGCGGTAATACAGGAAGTGCTCCATTGTGTTTTTAAACAGTGTTATAAACCTTTGCTAGAATCATTTGGAAGATTTCAGACCTGGAATTGACAATCTCTACTAATCTTAAGGTAAAAAGGAGCTGTTAACTTGAAAACTACCACTACATGACATCAGAAGGTGGAGCAGAGCAATTTGAGCTTTGGAGAGGTAGCTAATGTAGACTACTGTAGACTGATGTAGACTAATATTAAAAGGATTACTTTAAAGTGTGAATGAAACAAAACACAACTCCAGCTATGTTTTTCAGGAGGTAACAAATTTGTAATATAGTTTACAGCTCAAAAGAGTAAGTTTTGTGTAATATAGGACCATTAAGTATTTATTTATTTTAATTTGTAGAATGCTTTCAACATTGATATGCTGTGGAATCCTCATGACGCTCCCTCCACTCCTGGATCATACTGTCCTGTCTCAGGCCCAAGAGGGAAGCAGCCTTTGAGGAGAGACGCTCCGCACAATCTGCCCTCACCCACCTACCCCCGGAGACCACCTGCTGACCCAACAGACATCGAGGACTATATCAATGATGTATGAGCTGCACTTATGACTTTTTAGTCCATAAAAGTGATTCCATTAAGTGAACTGTATATTTAGTGAGGTGTAAAGAATATACTGTTAATTGTTTTGGAGAAATTATGGGCTTTTTGATGATTTAACCTCATATCATATTGTATAAGATCTGACAAGGAGGCACAATCAAAAACACACCATGGAGTCAGAGCAGATTAGACCATCTGCTTGTCCCTACCAGTAATGGCAATGGGAAGAGCAAATGAACAGAAATTTATGAAATTCTAGCACCGTTGCCATAGCAATTAATGATTCAAAACAAACATCTATATATTTTTAATCATCAAAACTCGCCTTTAAACACGGAGTTGAAAAACATGATTAACTAGAGCTCAACTTGTGCATTTTTCTGAATTAGTTAAATTCATGCTCACACCAAATTTTCCCAAGGAATTTTAATTATTTGTGTGTGTGTGAGTGTGAGTGTGTGTCTGCATAGTCTTTTTCATTGACTGTATTTTGTCTTCTATAAGGGCCTGGAAGCAGCTGACAATGATCCGAATGTGCCTCCTTATGACACAGCCTTGATCTACGACTTTGAAGGAGAGGGCTCGCTTGCAGGAAGTCTCAGCTCCATCGCCTCAGGCAGCTCAGACGGAGACCAGGACTACGACTACCTCAACGACTGGGGCCCCCGCTTTAAGAAACTGGCCAATTTGTATGACCCACGCTAGCAATGATGGAAAACCGCTGGAAAAGACAGCATTAACAAACACATATACGGTTTGAGTGTTTCTCTGGGAGCATTTAAAAAGATTGTGTTGAAGGACCTGACAAAGCGAGCCAAGCAATTGTGAATCAAAGTGAAAGGTGGACTTGAACATAATATGCCTGTGGTTTCTTATGAAAGATATGGGCTGATATTACTCCAATGGGTTGGTGTAAAACTTTGTGAATAGCTCAGGAGATTTTAAATGACACAGCTGTAAGGACAGAGGCTGTGACTGGTAACTTGTGTGTTGTTGACTCTTTTTTTTGTGTTTTCTCAGACATATCAGTGGTGGTGCATTCAGTCTGAGATTTCAAAACTTGTTAATGTATTTGTTTTTTTTATAATTGATTTTATAAAGCATCTGCAGTTTGATTTTTTTTGTTACTGTAAATCCTCCATTCCAGTAATGTTTCTTTATTCTTTAAAATTACTGAACAAAATGGCAATGTTTTCAAATTTCTGTGCTACTCATGCATATGGAGGAATCACTTTTTTGTTTGAGTTTTATTTCAGTTTTTACTGAATTACAAAATAAATATGCATTTTCTCTTGTGGCTCTTTCCCTTTGCTAGCTCAATAAATAGATTTAACAGCAGGTAGAAACTGTTAGAAACATTTTATTTAAATAACTTAACACTATTGGCCCAAACTTAAATCTTCAGTTTTGTTTTCCAATGTGTTTACTGCAAATAAAATAAAATAGAGTCCTAGAAGCTGCAGGGGCAAATTTACTTTTTAGCCACTTAATTGAAACCCAGTTCAGAGGTGCTGCTTATTGATGTGGTATTGCATATACACTTGCTTTCTAGGTACCTGGTATGATTTTGATTATATAGTATTTTGCATAAAACCCCTTACAGTAGGTTATAATAGTAGTCAAATTGGCACACAGTACATCTGTTCAGACTAATTGTGGATTGACATTGTCCTCCTGATGTTTTCGAGGAGGTGGAGGGGTGTCATCCTCCCCAGTGTCCTGCTTGTCTCTCTCTGCCTCCACCCAGCTCTGTGGGACAATCATCTTCTTTGGGCCGTGAGGGGGAGGACCCAGCAAGGCTTCAATGTCATCGTAGTTCACCACTTCACGCTCCAACAGGGCATTAGCCAACTGTAAACACAAAGCTCATGCTCATGGCTGTCTCATGAGGCTGGTTGTAGGGTAGATCATCTGAACTTACCATTGTAAGTTTGTCCCGGTTGTCGAGCAGTAGCTTCTCCGTTTGCCTGTAGGCCCGGGCTATCAGCATCTTTGCCTCCTGATCAAAGAGGAGGATTTTAGAAGAGTTTTAATTTCATATATTTTGTAATGACATTTACTACATACATGATCCATCTGATGCTGCAGTCCTTGACTAAAAGGGCGGCGTCCAACAGCACCTTGCTCCTCTGTCTCTGGGAACGAGACTTGCCCCACACTGTCACATACCATACTGCTTTACCATGGAGTATGCCACACGGGTCACCTTACGCAGATCATCCTGAGCTCCTGAAACAGGTGAATATTGTTAGTATCAAATCAGGACATGTCCACAAAAAAACAGACATAAACAGCACCAGAACCTGTGGTAACTTTGTTAAAGGTGATAGCTTCAGCGGCTCGACCCCCCAGGGCCATGCACATGCGCTCAAACAGCTGTTCTTTCGTGAACAGATACTGGTCACGAGGCAAGATCTGGGCAAATCCCAGAGCTGCATTTGTTCGTGGGGCAATGGACACCTATGCGAAATAAATAATAATACATATAATAATGATATACATTTTTTAGGTAGGTTAGTACTTTTCCAATAAAATAAAGTAGGCAATCTTTTACACTGAGGTGATTTGTACCTTCATGACTGCCTCTGTGTGCTCAAGTAGCCAGCCAACTAAAGCATGTCCAGACTCATGGAAAGCGACCACTCTTCGTTCCTCCTTCGAAAGGATTTTACTCTTCTTAACACTTCCTATAAACAACACATACATTTGAAAGGCTGTGATATAATGGTATGTAAAAAAAAAAAAAAAAAAAAAAAAAAAAACATTAGTACTGCACCTGCTATTACTCTTTCCACAGCATATTCAAAGTTCATAGTGTCAATATACTTATGGCCTTCTCTGGCTGCATGCAGCGCTGCTTCATTACAAATATTAGCAATGTCTGCACCTGTAGACAAATCACTCAGGTAATACACTGCATGTTTATGATGAGGAGAATAAAATATTGTCCAACATACCACTGAATCCTGGCGTGAGCTCAGCCAGGCGTAGAGAATAGAAACTTGCTGGATGGTTTAGCTTTAGAAATTTCAAATGCTGCTCATAGATTTCCTTTCTTTCCTGAAAGTAAATAAATACTTCTTAATAAACAAGAAATACAACTTCAATGGATTTCTAAAATGCCAGATAAAATATTAATTTGATTTGTTAACAAATCAACCTGTAGAGTGGGTAAGTCAATGAAGATGTGCCTGTCCAGTCGACCTGGTCTCATAAGAGCATTATCTAAAATATCAGCTCTATTGGTGGAGGCCAGTACAATTACATGATCTGTTGTCCCCATTCCTGTAAAAATGTGAGAGACTGTATGTAAAATATGGTATATGTATGTAACTTATGTATGTGAGAAGTAATCATGTCTTTCTGAAGAAAATGCTTGGGTTAAATATACCATCCATTTCGACCAGGAGCTGATTGAGTGTCTGTTCTTCCTCAGTGTTAGAGAAGCCGGACATGTTGGTAGAGCGCTTTTTCCCCACAGCGTCAATCTCATCAATATACACAATACATGGAGCTCTGGCACGGGCCTCTTTGAACAAACTCCTAACTCTAGCAGCACCTAAACCTGCAATGAAAAGACAAGTGTTCAGTTAGAAGACTTGACTTCAGTGTAACTTAAGTGCAGTGCATGCTAGATATAAATGTACCTCCAATGACCTCCACAAACTCAGACCCAGCCATAGCCAGGAAAGGTACCTGGGCCTCTGTAGCAACAGCTTTGGCCAGCAGAGTCTTGCCACAGCCGGGGGGCCCCAGCAGAAGGGCACCCTTGGGCACTTTAGCTCCAAGCTGTAGATATCGATCAGGGCTCTGACAACACAGATAGTATTTTATAGTCCACTGATGACAAAACAGTACAAATGTCAAATCTTCTTACTTTAAGGTAGTCCACAAATTCCTTTACTTCCATCTTGGCCTCATGCATTCCAGCTACATCCTTAAATTTCACACCTTTTCCTGATTTGCCATCAACAATGGTAAACTTTGCCATTTTCAGTTGGTTCTGGAGTAAAAATAAGTATATATGTAAAGGCAAAGTAATTGCATTTATACACCAAAATATCACCTTCTATGGTGTTACTCACAAATGCACTAAATCCACCTTCCCTGCCTCCCATGCCAGCAAGACGGAAAATATACCAAAGAATTGCCACACCAATGGCTGCCATTCCCAGAGCATAGAGCGCGCTACGAACAAAGTTACACATTACTTGAATTACACCAAAAACAATTTAGATCATAGAAATACAACTAGATTCAGCCATTTTGATGTAAATGCATAAAATCTGCACACTCTTACTTTCCAAAGAATCCAGTGCGTTTATAGGAGACAGGAATTCTGTCTTTTGAGTCAATATTCAACTCTTCTTCAGCAGCTCTGAGCTTCTCTTCAAATTTGTCAATGTTGGCGACCTGCATTCTGTACATCAATGCAAGCCTCTGTTCAAAAACAAAGATATTTGAAAATTGCCAAGTTTCTGTTATATATTTGAATCATTTCATATTAAACATACAGGTCGCCCAAAAATAACAGCTCCAGGATGAAGGTAGATTTCAACAGTGTCACTTTCAGGGACAACTTGTACACGTGACACTTCCCCCTTTGCCAGCATCTCATTGACAAAGTCATTCCATGAGATGTTGCCACCACTGGTGTTTATGGAGTTTAGCAGGCTCATGATCAGTGCAATAAAAAACAAAGTTCGAAGACGTTCTCGGTACATTTGATCCTCTTGCTCTCTACGTTTCTTGTCCTCTAAAAACAAAGAAGGTTATATTATCTCATCACACAAACATCTAATTGGAGCGTACCTTCATCCTCTTCTGGAGTTCGACCCTTTGGACCATCAGTCTTTTTCTTCTCCTGTCTGGATTGGGAGGTATTGAAAAAATATCTTGACCCTGCAACAAATATGTTCCAAATGAATGAACAGTCATTTTTATTAATAGAAAAAGAAATAATAACAAAGATGTATTCACCTAATATGTTAATCAATCCAACTGGGTTCCTTAGCAAATGATCCGTAATTAGGTCTGTGCTGATACCAGTCATTGCTGGACTCATGGGTTGAAACAGAAGACTCTAGCAGAAAATATTAGAAATGTGAAAACATTATTATTTCCCTTTTTCATAGCTACTGAAAATAATACACTGTATTACACTTTCTTTTTTTTTTTTTTTACAAAAACAAAAAAAGAGTTCTGTTATCAAAGAGCACCAGTGATGCCCCAAGATTTATAAAGGTTTTGTGACACAAATGTGCCGTGTTTTCGTTACCTTGATAAAGTGATGGTTTGTACTTGAAAACAGCCGCTCAGACTTTGACAGTAGAGTCTTTGTAAGTTGATTGTCGCTCCTGTATAAGATGTCTTTGACATTGTTGTTAGATAATTTCTTCAGAGCTTGATAGTTTCGTCCTGACAGAGTCCACAAGAAGCCTCTACTGTACTTTCTGTAAAGTCCAGCGCGGTATCGTAGTGCAGATGCCATAATATTATTATTATTAATAATAATAATAACAATAATATCTATCTACCACTCAGATGGTAGATGCATGGCTGATTGATTTTTTATAGATAGCAGGCTCCTAGCTAGCTCAACGCGCAAATAGAGTTTCTATGTCTATTCTTAACAACCCGATTGCCTTTACTCACGGTTCTACGTCACGAAAACTGTAAAAAAAAAAAAAAAGCAATCGTTAATCAACATGTCCATGCATTTGTGCAAAATTAAAACACGGTCATATTTCCTTAATACGAGTGCAGCAGCAGTGAGCTCAAGCGTTTCAAAACATTAGCTCTTCTTTGAATCTTCAGATCTTGAAAAACTCTAGACAAGACATTAAATGCAATTAACGCCCCCTGCTGCACGGGCATGAGAAACACAACAACAAAGTAATTTTAATGCAAATGTGTTTCTTAATATATATAAATATAATATCATATTATATCCTCTTTTTTCTTGGGCAGACTCATTTCTCTCATCTTTTTATGTATATCATTGTTGGATATAAGCTAGACAGCTACCATAAATAATATTGGCTATTCTTTTCATTGTCATTTATAAATAAACGGAATAAATGGAATGTGCATTTTTTTATTATGATACAATATAGGAAAAACTAACAAATTAATATTAATATACTGAATTTAGTGTAAAGGAGTAATCTGCAAATAATGCGTTTGTCTAAAAATGTCAGCAGATGGCACTATAATTCTGTTAACTCTGTTCCTCTTTATTTTGTTGACGCATATTTGTATTAAGATATAATATTCATAGACTGTATACAGTCCATGTGCATATTGCACGTATAACTAAAATATTTACATTTTGATCGTTTTCATTTCACTATGACGTAATATATAAATTAATTGGACATACATGTTCAATATACATTTATTTCAATGGACCATCATTGCTTCCTGGAACACATGGCATAGATCTTTTCAATCTTAAATTTGAAGAGTATTAAAATAGAACAGATTATGCTGAGGTACATGACCTAAACGTTAAAAAAAAAATTAAAAATTAAAAATGTAAACAAAATATGTTTTTGCGAAAATTTAGGAACATGGCAAAAATATCAAAGCACACACAAATTAGAGTGAATTTTGTAAACTGTACACACATAACCCTGTAGCATGTACTCCATTTCCTCTGCCTCGTCCTACAACAACATAATGGAGTGTTGGCTGTGTATTTGAAACTGCGTCCCTTGGTCAGCCACGTTGGATCTCTGTTGCTGACAAATAGAATGAGAAAAGGCTCTGTCGTGGCGCCAAAATGGCGCTAGTTTCCCACCTAATCAAAGCCGGAACCGCCCAAAGAATATCAGCCAATTGCAGCACTCGTTTCATTCACGAAATGTTTTCGTCATCGCGTCCACACACACGAAGCCAAAGGCCGCTCGGAAACCGCTCGAATGGGTTGGCGGAGAGGATTACATCGAAACTAAATATTGTATTTTGACGACATGCGCGAAATCATGCAACTCTGCAGTTGGTCGAATGGACTTCTAAAGACTTTAACTTGCTGGTGAAGATTCTTCTGTTCATCTAAAAACGAGTTTTCTGTGGATATTTCAGTGTTTTTTCTCTCGGTCGTCTGTTTGGTGCGCTAGCCTCCGTTGCAGCAGCATCGAGCTGCTTTGGAGCCGCGATGGTCGACTTTATGCGGATGTCTTTAGGAAGTCTACCTTGAACCGAAGGCAACAAATGGGAACATCTAGCATTGGCCGAAAACATCGCGGCGTAGACTAAATATTTTTGTCTTTTGTTTGGGGGGGGGGGCACAACAAAGGTAAGCTATAAATATGATTTGCAAAGCTAACAACAAACTGTATTACTCGTTGGTGGTTGCATGAGCCTGGACGCTAATATGTTGCGTCAAAGGTCAGCTAACCCAAGTGTTTTGTATTTGTTTTACTTATTTTGCCGCCGTAATACTGAATAAGCACTTATAAATAGTCACATAGTTCAGTATTTACTGCCTGCTTCAGACTGGACGCTGATTGCAGAACCTGGCTTTTCATGGTCTAATGTTTTGACCTGTTTTCCAGTACTTTCTTTGCACAAGCTTTGGTACAGGATTGCATGGTAGTAATATTTGTTTGGACTTTGTATTAAATATGTATTTCTTGCCGTTGCATAATTTGCAGAGTTAGAGTGCACTTGTCAATTCTTTCAGGTTTTCTACAAACTGAAGTTGACCTATTTCCGACTATTGCGTATTAGTTTTAGTTGTCCTATAATTGTTCGGAGTTGAATTTAGAATTTAGTGTTGCATTATTATGTTTGTAGTAATAGACTTGGTCCCATGCATGGCTGATGCGTGTGTTTGTAGAAAACTACGATGTTGTGTGCGCAGGAGGACAGCATGGAGCAGGGGATGTGGCAGAAATAGAGACTGGTGGAGATGCTCTCTACTGTGGTGCAGTAGTGATGCTGGGAAACCACTGCAGTGCTGCTGGTGTTGTTTCTTCTAAGACTCGAAGTATGTTTGAGTTTGTTGGGCGTTCTTGTTGACTACACTGCAGAGGCTCTGATACATAGTGTGGACAGGCACAGCCCTTATTTCTCTAACCTACCCCGACATACTCAGTGTTGCACATGTGGAACTCATGTGGTAACATCGTTATACTGTATGTTTTGTTCAGAGGGATGCTTCATGTGTGCACTTAGCGAGTGATTTCACTATTTATTTACCAATCTACACCATTTGGTATAGTTTAAAGTTTGATTCTTGCCCTCTTACTTTACTGTAATATTATTAGGGTGTACAAGTTCTGTGTAAAATGTATAATAGTTGTATAATGGTGTTGTTCTGCCATATAGAATGTCTTGGCCCATTTGAATGGACACACTGGTGTTGTTTGGCCTGAATTATGACAACGCTCACTGATCACTACCCAATTACCTAAAAACACTGTAACCTGCCATACACTGTTAGAGCTCATATCCACTGTAACAAGAACAGACAGTCAATATAAGAGGGGAAAGTCTCAAAGTGTGGATGCTGATCGAGACAAGGGGTCAGATTAAAAGCCACTGATGCAGAGCACTGCAGCAGAGGCACATTACACATCATCTGTCATGACTCTGCAAATTAAATTTTCAGCAACAAGATTCACTATCTGTTCAAAATGAGACACATCTCATTCATCATATTTACAAATGGAATTCAATGCAGGAATTTCAAATGTATTTGTAAGATAGAGTTGGTTACTGCAACATCAGGTGTTTCACTTCCCTTTTGTGGAGCTTTTCCAGTGACATGAAACAGTAATATATTATACTCCATTCCACATGGAGCGATGATAAATACTACATAAGAACAGTTTATTTTTTTTTAATGTTCACTCAGACATAAATTATACATTAGGAGTACGGGGCACAGTTTGTCCATTGCTTTCTAAGAATGGTGACTAATTCTGTTTCTGAACCATTTGAGCTGTGTGAGTTAAGTGTATATGACATTGTGTTTTATTTCTGGGGAATGCTTAGTTTTTGGGCATCAGTGTTGTATTAACAGATTGTATGATAGCACATCTTAGTCCAAACTGAGTTTCAGAGGCATTTTAGAAGTTGTGAAGTTGTTTTGGAAGTACTGCTTGGAATCCCACAAGCAGGCTTAACTTCTTTTTAATAGTAAGTCCAGTGTCTGTTATAACAACAAAATCATAGCTACAACTTCATATAGTCACATTGAATCTTTTGAGTCAGGTTCTGTCGATCCATTGGAAATGTTTGGGAGTATACTGCATACTGCAGCGTGATTGGAGCAGGCAGAGAAATTAAGCTTTGACTGAATCCTGTTAAAAAAAATCACAGACATGTTTCCCATCCACAAGTGCACAGAGTACTTCCTCCTGCACTTTTCCAAAACAAAGTCTGTATATTTCTGTTAAAATTTGATTTTTTACGTCTGTACTGCCATGTTTGTTTTGCTTCATTTTATCGTTGGAATTCATCTTGCAGTGCAAGATATTTGAACAATTGTCAGCTAGACTTGGGTGGTGCGAGGGCTGTAGTCTTTTAGTCAATTAGTTGCTTAATTGGTCAATGAAGTCTTAGTCAAGTTAGTCAAAGATTATTTTATTGAGAAGGATTTACATGGACAATAGTAGGAAGGAGAAGGCATGGAAGGATGTAGCTGGAGTTTGTAGTGAATGGAGTCAGGTTAATCTCCCTTTCCATCTGCACTGTTTACTAGTATTTCTCTCTATGCATAGTCATTATTGCAAGTGTAGTTTGGGTCAGATGCAGGCTAAGATCATAGAGGTACAAGCTTTTTACAGCTAAGGCTGATAATATATGGAACAATATTTATCGTGGTCACTGTTTCTTTGTACTGATGGAGAATTTTTGTTGTTTTTTTGTACTATGAATGTGATGAGATTTTAACTGTGGGGGGTTGGATCAATAACTTTTATGACTCAAAGTGTTTAATTTATTTATTGCAGGAATTAGCAGCATGTTCATTAACAGTACTCTCCAGAATAGTTTTTGGGGGATAATCCTGCTTTAAGGTTACCCTGTCGGTGGCATAATGGCATTCAGTATTGTCATCTATATTTTCTGCAGCACTACATCGTACTTCAAAACGTGTTGTTATGACAAGCCTACACACAACACAGCACGCCTCCTTTAGTCGATACACTGGGCATGCCTTTAGTCGACCAAGAATTTCTTCAGTCCACTAACACTAACTTGTTTGAATCCAGTAAGTAGCACAGTGAAAGGTACCACTACGGTATTGCTGTCAAAACATTAACTTCTTATCAACAAGTTTAAGTACCTTATGAGTCATGAGAAGGAACTATAGAAAGTTACCACAGTTAATAATGAAAAAGTACAGATTTTCCTCAACAAAATAATATTTTTTTTTAGCATTATATTACTATAGTGTGTTGTCATTCTAGGAAAATAACACTGTACTGGTTTCAACAACATTTATCATAAATATGATCAAACGTGTTTAAATATTGTAGCTAAGGTTCATATATTACATAAAACCAGACTGAAGTATAAAAAAATCACATGCAGAACTATCACCTCTTTAATCACTCTGGCTGCACTACACCAGAATCGAAAGGATAATTAGATTTTTTTGGAATGGCCAAATCTCAAACACTGCAATTATTCAGACAGTACAGCGTCCTCTCCTCTACAACAAAAGATCCTGCCTTTATGTGTGCTTTTTTGTGCTGTCATTTCTTAATATGGTGCGGTATTATAAGTACTTTTTCCTTTAGCCTGAATCCTTGCGGTCATGTCATGATTCAAATGGGATTGTTG